TAAAAAAACAAAAAACCAGACAGCAGGGCTAGGGGCACAGCACATGCTTAGCAAGTGAAGCCCTGGGTTCAATCTCCAATACCACCCAAAACCAAAACAAAACAGAACAAAGCCAGGCAGTAGGTCTCTGTTTGCCAACCACGATGAGATCCTTATCAGCTCTCCCTTGAGCAGGTAAAGCAACTTCTCCTAGGGCTGTTCCTCCTTCTGGTCTTCCACCTGTTGTCACCCTCTAGAACTTGCTCTGGACTAGACATAAGATTCTTCCTAAAATAGCAATCTACTCGCCCTGATAAAACCACCATATCTGTTTTACTCACATCCATAGGCAGAGCCTGCATTCTGCCTAGAAATTACTACAAATTAGAAATTTTATATTTGTTGAATCAAGTATTATTATCTTGATTGAAGCTCTTTATTCAACAAGAGAAGAAAAATATACAATTATAATTAAATACACCTTGCAATTATTCTCAGTTGACATGATTTCCTCTATAAAAAAACATGAAAATCTCTATGAAAATTATTAAATTAATGAAAAATTCAACAAAATTGTCACAAATGAGATCAATGTATTAAAAATAGATTACATTTGTACATTCCAATGAAAATTACTAAATTAATGAAATATTCAACAAGACTGTCACAGATGAGATCAATGTATTAAAACAGATTGCATTTGTACATTCCAACTACAAGTTAGAACATTTGAATTTTAACACAATTATCATTCATAATAGTAACAAAAATTGTAATGTAACTAGAGAAATATGTATCAATGTTTAACCTATATGAAGAAAGGTAGGAAGTTTCACTGGGAACTATTTAAGATAACCTAAATAATAATTAGATTTGCCATATTTAGAGCTCAGAAGATTCACTGATGTAAGGCTATCAATTTTCTCCAGCTTAATTTATAAATTCATTTCAATTTCAATAAAATCCAAAGTTGTTCATGGCAAGTAAAGAGCTGATTCTAAAACACACTGAGAGTGGGTTATGGTGGCACAGACCTGTAATCCCAGCTACTTAGGAAGCTGAGGCATGAGGATTCCAGGTTGGAGACCATCCTGGGCTATGGAGTGAGTTCAAGGCCATCCTGGGCAACTCAGCAAGAGGTGCTGTCTCAAAATTTAAAAAGGGCTTGGAACAGCACATATACAACAGATGAGCACTTGCCTAGAATCTGCAAAAGCCCTGGGTTCAACATCCAGTACCACTAAACAAACAAAATGGATACTGAAGACAAAAATCCAAATTAGCCAAGACAACCTTAAAGGTGGATAACTTGTATGAATAGATTTCAAATTTTACTCTAAAGCAATTAAAGCAAGAAAGAAGGCTGGGTGCACTGGTGCACGCCTTTAATCCTGGCAGATCTCTGTAAACTTGAGACTAGCCAGGTCTACACAGCAAGTTCCAGGCCAGCTAGGAGTATAGAGTGAAACCCTGTCTCAAAAAAACAAAAACAAAACAAAACAACAGCAACAAAAAAAGAAGAGAAGCCAGAATCAAAACTACACACACATAGGAGAACTTGACACACAACAGATGTGGCATTATGAATAAATGGAAAAAAAAAAAAAGACAATACTAAAAAATACCACTGGGTGAGTTAATCACATGGAAGAAATTAAAATTACATCAGATTCACATCAAACATATACAAAACCAAAGGAAGGTGAATTAAAGACTTCCATATGCAACCATATGTTATCTTTCTAATTAAAAAAAAAAAGTGCCAGACACCTTTAATCCTAGCACTTGGGAGGCAGATCTCTGTGAGTTCAAGGCCAGCCTGGTCTACACAGTGAGTTCCAAGCCAGCTGGGACTACAGGGAGACCCTGCCTCAAAAAGACAAAAATAGGCCCAGCGTGGTGGCGCACGCCTGTAGTCCCAGCACTTGGGAGGCAAAGGCAGGCGGATCTTTGTGAGTTCAAGGCCAACCTGGTCTACACAGTGAGTTCAAGTCAGCTGGGACTACAGGGAGACCCTGTCTCAAAAAGACAAAAAAAAAAAAAAAAAAAAAAAAAGACAAAAATAAATAAATAAATAAACAAACAAACAAACAAACAAACAAACCAGGATCATGAGTTCTAGGTTACCATGGGTCACATAGTAAGACTTTGTCTCAACAGGAAAATAATAACAAAAACCCAGTAAGTATCCAGGCACAGCAGTGAGTAGCTATAGCCCAAGTTACTCAGGAAGCTGAGGCAAGAGGGTAGTCCAAGAGTTCAATATCAACTCGCATAGCAAGATCCCACCTCAAAAAACAAAACCAATAAACAGACCAAGAAAAATGAAAAAATAAATTTGTAAAAAACTTGTATAAAAAAATATTAGAAGCAGGAACTGCAGAGATGGCTCAGTGGTTAAGAGCATTGGCTGCTCTTGCAAAGGACCCACCCACAACGGTGGCTACCAACTGTCAGTAACTCCAATTCTAGGGGATCCGATGCCCTCTTCTTACATTTGAGGGCCTTGCACACATGTGGTACACTTCATACATGCAGGCAAAACATTCATATACATAAAAAAATAAATAATTAAAAAAATAGAAGTAGCCAGGCATGGTGATGCATCCCAGCACTTGGGAGGCAGAGGCAGGAGGACATATGTGAGATCGAGGCTAGCCTGCTCTTTAGTGAGTTCCCAGGCCAGCTGGGGCTAGAGGGAGACCTTGTCTCAAAAAACCCCCGAAAGAATCAGCATTCTTCAAAACAACCAATAAATAAATAAATAAACCCAGCCAACTACAATCAATGAATTAGTGAACAAACAAAAATGAACCCAAATGGCCATCAACTTCTAAGTAAAATGTATCCATTTAATGAAATATGATTCACCAATAAAAAGGAATGAAGTTCTTGGATACATACTATAATAAGAACTTTAAAAACAAGCTAGATAGGTGAAGTTTTAAAAAATGCATGTTCATGTATGAACTGCCAATAATTTAAAAAATGCATGCTAAGAGAAAGAAGTCAGTCAGAACAGACTACATATCACGTTTCCATTGGTATAAAATGCCCACAACAGAGCTGGGTGTGGTGGCACAGGCCTTTAATTCCAGCATTTAGGAGGCAGAGGCAGGTGGAGCTCTGAGAGCTCAAGGCCAGCCTGGTCTACACGGTGAGTTCCAGGACAGCTGGGGCTACAGGATACCCTGTCTCAAAAAAAAAAAAAAAGAAAAAAAGAAAAAGGTCCACAACAGCAAAACCTACAGATACAAATAGTGGGTTGATAGTTGCCTGGAGATCTGCTTGAGACTAGATTTCTATCTTCCTGTCTAGCTAAAATTTCTAAACCTGTAAGAGATTCCCAAATGTTGAATTAAATACACTAGGCTGTTAAAAAAAAAAACAAAAAAACTAGAATTCAAGCTTAGCTTGATTATTCAAATGGCCATGAAAGGTTAGAATATTGATAGCTACATCCCATAAACAATTGGGCAGTTCTATTTTCAGACTTCCTGTTAGCCTGTCTTGAATAACTGAAAAGCAAAACCCAACCATTCTCTCTTAGATTGCTGTTAACAGCACACAACATAGTTAATCCAGAATGAGGCAGTATAAAGTCCCCCATCTGATAATCCTGAAAGCACTGCTTAATAAGAGCAACAGCACTAACCAGCATGCTAAACACAGCTCACCGACAATCTTTCTGAAATGTTTAAAGCAGATGAAAACTTCTAGATATTTATCATGCAAAACAGGCAGCATTCCTCTGCATGTCACTATGCATCTTCCTTGGTTAAGTAGGGAAGAACTCTGGGCGCTTGTATTCTCTCCTGATCTGCCATTCATCCTGTGCATGTGCATGTTTTCTGCCGCTATAAAAAGAGATGCACTGCACAGTAGTTCAGGGGACAAGATTTACCCATACTGAAACTGAATGTGAGCTATGGAAGCTTATAAGGGAGTTTTATACTACAGCCTGTACTTCTCCATGTAATACGATTTTGTGCAGTAAAAGAAAAAAAAAAAAAAAAAGAGGAAGTCAGCTTCCCTAGATTCTCCAGAATTACGCATTTCATTCTTAAAAAACTGGTCTGAAAAACTGAAAAAACATACAATTTAAGATAGATAAAATAAACCCAGTGATCTAAGAGCAAATTTTGCTTCTATATGAAAGATAATTAGATTTTAAACCCAACTAACACTTGCAGACCGTAGGGAGCTCAAAATAGGAGGCCAAAGGAAGTAGGCAAAATAAAAACAACTACCATTAAAAAACTCATTCCTGATGGTCCAAGCTGACCCAGCTGTCATATGCCATTTATAAACCAACTCCTCTGAACCCGAGCGGCAAGAACGCCTTGAAACTGGGCATGGTAACAGTTAATTCCACAGTAGAACTGTAGATACTCAACAACTGGTTCTACAGATCAAAGATCCAGGAGATAAGTGAAGTTTGTGTCTGGGCAGATCAGCAAGCAATCCCTTAAAAAACTCACCTAGACGTTGCTCCATTAACTTCCAACTTCTCTTTAAAATTCACTTCACTGCTTGGAACGAGCATGTTTCGAGCATGTTTCCGAATAAACAGTGTTTGAAAACGCCCTCTCACAAGAAAGTTAAGGACTTGACTTAAATCGGAAACACCATCTATTGCAGTAAACTGAGTCTTAGTTACCAAGTGTTTCATTTTAAGGAAAACGCACTGCCACTGTGCATCAAACGAACTAAAACAGCTTAAAAACTCAATGCAAGTTCAAGGATAAATGCACCACTACACAAAAAGTTGCTTCCTTGGATTCTAAGAAAAGGCACTTGACTATTATTTAAAAGACAATTTAATGGTAAAAGACTTTAGATTTTCCTCCATCACTTAATTTAAAAAAAAAAAAAAAAACTTCCAACAGGGCCTGCTTGTGGGTGCTGTGAAAACGTGGGAAGAGGTTTCGGAGAGGGAAGAGTCAAAACAAGTGCAGAGAGCAAAGAAAATTCGGAGTTCTTGAACTCCAGAGGCTCGGCGGGACGAGGAGGAACCGTACCTGCCAGCGGCCGTAGGTGAGCAGCACCATGGCGATGGGGATGGCTGTGCCAGACATGGCATGTGTGGAGGGCATGCCGTACTCGGAGTTGTAGAAGACCTCCAACTTGACGACGGGCGGCGAGGCGGGCCGCGGCCAGCGGATGATGTCCTTAGTGCACTGGCCCAGGTACATGACCAGCACCCAGATGATCACCAGCCTCCGGCCCACCAGGGGGTCGAGGTTCCAGATCCAGAAGGGGAAGAAGATGATGTAGAAGAGTTCGTTGCCCAGCTCGGTGCCGAAGCTGAACAGGTAGTAGAGTGGCCAGTTGCTCACGCGCGTCAGCTCGCCCTCCTCTCCGGTCAGCGAGTTGCGGCGCAGCGAGCCCGCGCCTTGGGGCCCGAGATGATCACCAGCCTCCGGCCCACCAGGGGGTCGAGGTTCCAGATCCAGAAGGGGAAGAAGATGATGTAGAAGAGTTCGTTGCCCAGCTCGGTGCCGAAGCTGAACAGGTAGTAGAGTGGCCAGTTGCTCACGCGCGTCAGCTCGCCCTCCTCTCCGGTCAGCGAGTTGCGGCGCAGCGAGCCCGCGCCTTGGGGCCCGGCCCGGCCCGGCTCGGCCGCCAGCCCGTTG